GGTAGATAACATTATCTACCTGAACAACCGAGCCCAGATGTCTATTTATGAAAGGGAATTTTCGTCTTGAAACGTTCCAGGTTTATACACTAGTGCCTCATACACTTAACCGGCTAAGATGAGTCGAGATGTAGAGAGAAAGGACCAAGCCGCAGACGATGATGACGATGATGATGACGACGAAGCCGAAATCATGGAAATACGAGGCGTGGTGATGAAGCCAGGAATTCAGTGGAGTGTCGCCTGGGAACGACATGTGGTGAATGTGTACACGGGGTTAGAGATTTATCAAAACCTGAAGATTCCCCATGGTAACAAAAACCGTGAAATCACCCGGATGTTAGAGGAGAGTATTGAACAGAACAAGCGAATGACTATTGATTATCGCATTGCTGACAAGGAAATCCTTGAAGTCCGCTATCGATGAAGATCTGACATGTTGAAACGAAGGTAGTTCTAATTGTCGACGATGAATACAGCTCGAAAATAGCATGCACCGGGATGAACGCATCAACAAACTACACTTCAGAATCATTAAGGCTATTTACTTCGCTAGCGACTTACGATTGTGATCATAGTATAGAATTAGAATCAGATGAAAGAATTGAGAAAGATATGGAGAAAGAGATACGTGGTTTGACTGGGTGGACAATGGGAAGCTTATATATGCTACTCAGTTTTGGATTTCAGTTTTTTTTTCAGATTTCAGAACAGTTTTTCGATCTTGAAATTGAAGTATTAAGTTGTCCACGTCAAACGGCTCACGTTCTGTTACCCAGGAAATTAACTTTAATTACAAATTAACGCTGCTAATGCTGTTAAATCTAATCCGGTGCTACTTTATTAAAATTCCATTCTATTGAAATTACAATTTGACCATCGGCGATAAACTGTACATTGATCAAATTCTGTCATTTAAGTCTCACTAAAGGTTCAAGAAGTCTTTGAAAATCTGTCGAGAGAAAAAGAAAAGCCATGAGTGCATTGATACAGCTCACGTTCACTGAGAAAAGTATCATCTATAAATGAACCAATATATATCTCTGTATCAGAGGGTGTCAGGAGGCTTGTGATAAACTCTTCTTACAACGCGGTATCTTAACATCTTTATCAGCGGAGTGTTTCTCACACACAAAATGCCTTCTAAAAATATGCCTGACCAATTTCAAACATCCGTCCACTAATTAGCCCCAGTCCCAACTCCCTACCAAAATGAGCCTGCTAAAAAGCTTTTTGAACCCAGGAAGTGGCCAATAATTTATTCATTTTGGCGCGAATTCGAAATTTCAGAGTTAATTTATAAATTTCAAAATCGTCATGGAAACGTTTGGCGCGATATTTCCCGATACAATAAACAAGTCAAAAGCCCACGATTGTAAGCGTAATTTGTCACCCATGATGTTAAAAGGTAATCAAATGGTATATGAAATTAAGAAATAATTTCACTTGTGTTGTCAGAATTCAAACAAATTCCCTCGCCCAAAGAAGCGGAGAATCATTAAAATTTTGAAAAAAAGCGCATAAAATTTTTCCCTAATTTCACTCATCATCATTTTATTTCTCGTACTCATTGCCAGTTTGCTCAAGTACCTTGAATATTTATCTTTCCATCCCTGTCAGGATCAGCTTTCCGTAAAATATCCCGCAGCTCAAAGTCTCTCATCTGAGAACTTCCCGGCATGCGTTTCAGTGCTGTCTTGAGTTCCTCTGAGCTGAAGTAACCGCGCTCTTCAGGGTCAAAAACCCGGGTAGGGTTGAGTGTTTGTTCCTCANGGCTGAGATTGAACTAACGTGAGGTGGGTTTGACATGGGGTGAGGCTCAGGCAATTGCGAAGGACAATACTCGGTGGAGGAGGACATTGTAGCGGCCCTATGCCCCACTGGGGGTTATAAGGATTGATGATGATGATGACAACTTCTAAGGCTGAACTTGTTGTTTATCGATGATAACGAGAGTTATCCATTCATTACGCTGATCACGTAAAGTCACTAAAGATATTTTAAGAAGCTGCAGCAGAAAAATCCATCACCTTCAATTTGCTCTTTGTTGAAAATTGGAACATCTTGTTCGTTTTCTTTTCTAATGGCTTCATTGATTCTTTGCTGTTGTGAGAATGAAGAAAACACATTTAGTACGTATGAATAATTTGGTGCTGTCATGTTGAACACGTTTGCCTTGATGGCCTTTTCAGAACTAACATTAAAAGCAACCAGTAAGAAGATTAAAAGTGTTTAACTCGGTAGAAAGACGAATGCAACTAATTATTGTAAAAGTGAAATTGCTCATTTAATACACCTGTCCCTGCTGGGAGCCTTTACACGGCAGCAGCAACCAGCAAAAATTACTCTCACTGTAGTTAAAGTAGTTAATGTATACCTCCCTTCTCGGTGATTTCTTGATATAAAGTCTGACTACACCCCTAGCTTTCCTCACTGCTTGACGCGCGTACTTCATTGGGACTTGTGTGACGTTAATTCCGTTTATCTTAAAACAAACAAATATATTACCGACACGTTAATAAAGTTTCGTCGTCGTCGTCATCATCATCATCTTATATGCAAAGCGATTCAGAAATAAACAGATCGGACGTAGAATTTCCATAAATGTTTTTACTAGGGCGGGCATTCCACTCTATTCCATTTTACGGAGATAAAAATACAACAAAGAAAGATCAATTTTCTGTAGATAACGTTCACAAACTAGAGAGGGCTTTTTGTGTTTTTGATATTTTAACTGTTTGATTTTCAATTTGCTTACCGATAGCACTCGGTCCCCAGGCCTCAGCTTTCTGTCCACAAAGCTTCCAGGAATCACGTGATTGATAAAAATTCCCGGATCACCAGGGATTCGTGGATTATCAAAACCGCCATGTAAAGTAAAGCCTAAGTCAGCGGCGTGGTCTGAAAATGTATTTTATTTACAGCAGTAAATTACTTTGAGCTGGACTTTTTAATTCAGTAGTAACTCAGCAAGTCAATCGATTGTTCGGTTCGGTTAATAGTGGTTAGTCAACCGTTCAGTCAGCAAGCCAATCAACCAGCCAGCCGGCCAGTCATCCAGTCAGTCAGCCAGTCAGTCAGTCAGTCAGTCAGTCAGTCAGTCAGTCCGTCCGTCCGTCAGTCAGTTAGTCAGTCACTCCGTCCGTCCGTCCGTCATCCCGTCAGTCTGTCTGTCTCTCTGTCAGTCAGTCAGTCATCTAGTCAGTCAGTCAGTCAGTCAGCCAGTCAGTCATTCAGTCAGTCCGTCCGTCCGTCCGTCAGTTAGTTAGTCAGTCACTCAATCCGTCCGTCCGTCCGTCCGTCATTCCGTCAGTCTGTCTGTCTCTCTGCCAGTCAGTCAGTCAGTCAATCAGACAATCAGCCAGCCAACCAGTCAGCCATTCAGTCAGTCATTCTGAGCCAGTCAATTATTCAATTAGTAGTGCGAGGCAAGACAAAAAAAATGGGTCAATCAATCAATCAGTCAGTCAATCAGTCAGTCAGTCAGTCAGTCAGTCAGTCAGTTTATCAGAACTTCTGTGCCATCACTTACAGCCTCGAGCCAGCTCCATCATGACTACTCACGCACAGGTACGAATTAAACACAGAAAACCTCAACGTCTATTTACCGTCAGGCCGTTTTGGAATTTCCACGAACACATACTCGGAGTCTTTTTTGAATGAAGACAGGAACATTTTGACGCTGGCAACCTGCTGAACCATTTTAGCAGCATTTTTAAACGCTCGACTTTTCGGTTCGGGTTTGTTGAGATTCTGGTCTGACTTCATATCTTTAGCACCATTTAACTTTCGCTCTGTAGCTCTTCTGTCCAGTGTGATCGCGTCTGCGCATGACTGAGCCTGCATAGTGTAAAGGAAAGTAACGTGTATTAAGTTATAACTGATAAAAAATATTGTACATAACCCCTCCCTCGCCTTTTCGGCCGCTAACTTCATAAGAAATTGCAAGAAATCTCTTTTTGCTACATTCTGTTAAATATTTAGTGAAAAGGAATTTGTAACTTTCTTGAATGTGTCGAAACAAAAGACACTTTACAGGGTATTCACAATAACTGGTGTCTCCCATATTTCTCGTTAGTTTAGATTCATGGAACAGATATTTCCAGCTTGTGAGAGGCTGACCAGTTGGTTAATCAAATGACGTGAAGTGGGCAAGAGCCGACACACAAGCAGCATTGGTAACTTAACGTGCTAGGAGAGAGCGTGGATTCTCGTTTTATAATGTTAGCGAACCAGTTGCAATTTAACAAATTGACGTCAGTTTTTCATGGGTCTGTCCTGTTGTTGATCATAAATTTCGCCATAACATTGTCAAAGTATCCGTGGATCCGCAGACTACTTTGATAATGTTATGACGAAATTCATTGTCAATAACAGAACATACCCATTAAAAACTGACGTCAATCTGTTTTTTACAATAACAAATTGTCAAATTGTCCGCTCTCCGCTCGTTGACGTATCGCATATTAAATTATAAATTCATGTATCTGTCCGCTCATTGACAATGAAAATTATCGTAAAAAAATTAATGGCTGATTATTTCTTTGACATCAAACAAGAAATCCTTCAGTCAAATGGGTAACGCACACCTGAACGATCTCTTGAGAGGAATTTTGCCGTTGTTCTGGTTCCTGTTTCTCTGCTCCAGTGTCCACCGCTGAGTTTTCTAATTCATCTTCCTCTGGCGGTTTAGGAGTAGGTTCTGGAGAAGCGCAAGGTGTGGATTCCGTTTGACCCTAAAATACATTCCTAACATTACTTCCAACTGGAAAAGCATTCACCATAAGGTAAGTTAAGCAGGGAATTCTGCATACGGTGCAAGAGGCCAACGTTAATTCTATACCACCCTCATTTTGTAACAATTAAGTTACCGGTACATTTCGTTAGGGTTATTTAGACTCCTATGCGGAGAGAGAACTTAAGAGCAGCGATTCTTGCCCAAGAACTCAACACAAATGATTTCTTCGTCCAGCTCGCCCAGCTCGGTTCCCAATGTATAATAACTGCCGCCACCACCACCAACTTCTCTTCACGCCAGCTCCCTGTTCCAGAATTTCTTTCGTATTCACATTACATATACAGCTAGCAATATCTTTCATTGCCGCTGCCTTTCCAAGATTATGCATACAAGAGGTCCTTCGAAGGCCGGATCTTCTGTAAAGATTGAGTTCAACCTACACATATTCTTCGGGATGTGGTCCGCAAATACACGAGCAAAATAATTCGTGCTCAGTTTCGTCGTCAATCAAAACTTGCATAATGCCCAGAAGTCACGAAAGCTGTCGGTTCCAAACCGGCATTATTTGTCTACCGAAGAAATTTTTTTAATATCAATATTACAGGAAAGTGAATGGTATCAGAGTACAGTCATCAAAGCAATTCCTAGTTGTTCTTTCCCTTACCGGGAGAGCAATTATATCGATGTGCAAACTAAGTGTTTGGAGACGAAGACTGATTTAGAACTACAACATTCAGTTGTCGGTTGGCACGAATTAACACCCAGTAGACAACAAACATTCTCAGCTTTGCACCTAATTGCAAGGCAATCAACACGATTTGAAGTTTCTTTTAACTTGGAAGATATTTATTACTCTGCAGACTTGAAGAGTTAAATGCCTAAAAGAAAGAACACAGCTACGATCCAAAAACTGCTTTAAATCGTCGTCGTAGTTTGAGCTTTAAAAGTACTTTACAAAAAAGTTATTCCACATAAATCGACTGCAGTGCATAGTTATGAAGTAATCATAAATGCACTTCTGCTAAGAAACCTCAAGACGATAAAAGATGTAAGATTGAGTTGTAAATTCGGGCTTAACAGCACTGAATGTAAAAAAAATAGAGACACGGCAGCAAGTTATGACTTCAGACTTACCATGACTCGTTTGTCTTCTCTTCCAAACTTCCCGACAACGAATTCAAGCAGAGGAATGTTTGCGAGGGTCAGAATTAACATAAAGAATTACAACATAAGAACACGGCAAATAGAACGATCTCAATAAGTCACACACCGAGTCACCATAACATTCCATGTGACGTGTGCAAACACATTCGCGCGACGAATTACATTTGGAAAAATTGTTTGACTTCTGGGGCAACTATCACTCCAACCGTCGTTATAGATATATTTTGCAGAGGTGTTCACCTCTGCGCCGTCTGTGCTGTTAACTGTAATAATGAGGTGCTTGTAATTGTAATAACAGTTATCGGATTTTGTAACAACGCATTTATCCAACTGTTTTACTGACAGATTGTCTTGTTTCGTATGGTCGTTTAAAATTTTAATTTTTTTTTTAATTTTTCATGCATATAATAGAGCAAAGATCTCGTAATATGAAGTTATTTTGTAATTTTGTATTTTATAGGTTTTTGTAATTTTTCCTTATTCGTTTAGGTAACACTCTTGCATATGCAGGATTAGTTTTCGCCATAGGGGTAGGCGCGGGAGTAAGAAATACTCTTTGGGGAAACTGAAGTACTGCTCAGCAGCTTTCTGCACAGTTATTTTAATTTTACATTTTGGGATGAGGATGATTTTACATAGCACAAAATAGCTATGACAATTTTCGACAGGTCTTACCATTTTGGAAAACTGTTATTGTAATTTACAATGAGTATTATAATCTTGGGTATAATTCACCACCATACAGACGTCATATACCGGTCAGATGACTGAAAAAAAATTTATTCCCATTGAACTTGTACAGTAATAGCCACGTTCGGCCTGACAGGGTTTTTGAAGTAACTTATTAAGAGCAAAATATGTCATCTTATATATAGAGTTTGACAGTTTTTGGTTTAATGGATTTAAGGAGTCAAAACCAGCTAGTAATCTAAACAGGTTATCTATGGATTGCAGAACTAGTTTTTTTTCCCTAACAGAATTATACCTTTCAACCTACATTGGCAATTACACATGTTCGCTTTTCAAGCTATTTTTTTTGCACAAGAGACTTACAATCGTGGAAAAAAGTCTTGAGGCAAATTTGCACTTTTGGCGCTTTTCTGCACATGCCCTGCGTCAGTCGTGAATACAACATACAAAGTTGAAAATTAGTACCTGCAATTTCTCCTGGTTTTCAACGTTGTATTGGGTGGGGAGGGGGAACAGCAACGCGTTTTTAAAAGGATAGCTCGAACCTAAGTTGTAAAATACAGATAATTCGTTACATTACATAAGTGTCCAAAGGACCTTTGTTCACGATTGTAGGTTGGGAAAGAAATTAACAGCAAGTAGTTACGGTAAACTCTGATTTATAAAAAAGTTATTCCATTATTTTTCAAAAAAAATCGTTCAGTCAATAACTCGGGAAGGGTAACTCTAATTGTTATATTGATGAAGTATATTATTCTCTACCATGTACTTCAGAAAAAAACCCAGCATTTTTCGTTTCAGTATTTGTATAAAAACAAGTTTTCATCTTATAAAAATAAGTAAATAAAATTAAATACATTTAGTGAAGTTAACTATAAAAAAACATCTCTCTTTCGTTTACAAAAAAGACTTGAAAACCGCAAACAGCCCACAGTTTTGGAACTGCATTAGCAGCTCAGTATAAAAATATGTCCCTCTTTGTATCTTTTTTGGTTATTCTTGACTTTTTGTAGGTGACGCTGAAGAAAACAGTGAACGAGATTGCTCCAACACAACCAAGTCTGCAACATAAGAAGCTTGTTGATATTAATATATGGTCCTCGCCACTGACTGTTGCATTATTCTGGCAATTATGATTCTTCGTGATGTTCTTTCCATGTTGCAATAATTAACCAAAGTTCTGCATTTAATGCTGGTTCGTTCTTATTCACACGTTGGTCATGGATTCATGTCTGTTCTCTTTACCTCGACTTACAGCATTCTAAAATACTGTTTGTTATCTTGTATTACGATATTTCGACTTCCGCCATCAATGTTTCGTGAAACACATATTGCAGCTCGTCCATCAGTACTGCTGGAAGAGCGGTAAGATGAGATCTTTGAATTCTAGAAAAAGACAAAATGTTTTAACATAAAATGTTATTGAACTAGCATCAGGTCCGTATCGTATTCGTGTTAGAATTCGCTTTTTTCAAGCTTAGCTTTAGTTGGTCTTTGGCTTAGGATATCAATGGCAAAAATACGGCAAGGGGCCCATAACCCCCCTTCTCCTGCCCCCTTGTTGGAGTTAGAAAGGACCCACTCGGCACCCCTTTTCCCCCCAAACAACAAAAAGCTAATGTTCACTTCGTTCCCCCACCATCCCTGTCCCCCTTTGAGTACAGGGCGACACAGCTCTACGAACAGTTCCGACGGGCATCCCCTGGTACCCCCTTGGGAGTTCGCATATTTTCAGTCACCTCGCACAAACCTTCAAAGTTGACATGTCCATCGCCATCAGGATCTGCCAATTGGAGTATTTCCGCCAGTTCACTTTCTGTGATAAGGTCGGATCCTGGGATTTTGGTCAAAGTATCCTCAAGCTCGTGGAGTCGGAAGAAACCCTTCTCCTCTCGGTCGAACACTTCGAATGCTTCCAACAAATCGGAATCACTTTGATGCGAGGACTTGATTTTCGTTAAGATCTGTACAAAATCCATGAAGGAGATTTTGCTGTCCCCTGTATGAAACAGAAAATAGGTTTAAGAATTAACCGTTGGAATTTCCAGCACCCTATACAAACAACAGGCATTTTGATTCATACAGGGGAACAAAAAACGTTTCGGGAGTGAGGATTTTTCGTGCTTTGCAAAGTTATCTTCAACAGGATGATGTCGAGTTTGGGGATTATTTCAGGAAAATCACCTTGCAGCACCCGTCCTTCGAGTCTCAGCGAACCAGCTCATATTTATTCCTTTTGCTTCATTAAGTCATGCTATAAAACAAAGCGATACCTCTTACCTCCTAATCTAAACTCTGTGGCAATGACATCTTTATCGGTGGATGTGAGATTATGGCCAAGTTGCNTGTCTCCTGTATGAAACAGAAAACAGGTTTAAGAATTAATCGTGGGAATTTCCAGCACCCTATACAAACATCAGGCATTTTGATTCATACAGAGGAACAAAAATGTTTCGGGAGTGGGGATTTTTTGTGCTTTGCAAAGTTATCTTCAATAGGATGATGTCGAGTTTGGGGATTATTTCAGGAAAAATCACCTTGCAGCACCTGTCCTTCAAGTCTCAGCGAACCACCTCATATTTATTCCTTTTGCTTCGTTAAGCCATGTTATAAAACGAAGCGATACCCCTTACCTCCTAATCTAAACTCTGTGGCAATGACATCTTTATCGGTGGATGTGAGATTATAGCCAAGTTGCCGACATAACTCCATCATTTGTTTCAGGGATATTTTGCCTTTGCCCGCTCTGTCATAGACAGAGAATGCCACTTTCAATTCTGAAAAGTAGCAGAAGTCAAACGAGTTAAATTTACATTCAGTTTACTTCGACGCAGCCCGTTAGCCTGTTCCTTCATTCGTAGAAAGTAGGAACGTACTTTAAACATAAAAAGTCGCCTGCTTTGTATCTCGAGAAAAGTTATTGACTTGACTTTCCACACTCCAATTAATCGATGAGAGCTGAAAGAAAATTCATTTACCATGTTTTATATATGTGCACCACGAGAGAGCTTTGCAAAACTATTTTTTACCATGCCATGGAAAATACAGTGGCCAGCACAATTAATGCGACATACGCGCCGCGCACGACGGGAAGGTAGGATGAAATACCGTCGAATTTACAACGGTTTTCCTTTATTCTGATTGGCTGTATTTTCTATGGCGCGGTATAAATCANGTGCTTTGCAAAGTTATCTTCAACAGGATGATGTCGAGTTTGGGGATTATTTCAGGAAAATCACCTTGCAGCACCCGTCCTTCGAGTCTCAGCGAACCAGCTCATATTTATTCCTTTTGCTTCATTAAGTCATGCTATAAAACAAAGCGATACCTCTTACCTCCTAATCTAAACTCTGTGGCAATGACATCTTTATCGGTGGATGTGAGATTATGGCCAAGTTGCCGACATAACTCCATCATTTGTTTCAGGGATATTTTGCCTTTGCCCGCTCTGTCATAGACAGAGAATGCCACTTTGTATTCTGAAAAGTAGCAGAAGTCAAACGAGTTAAATTTACATTAAGTTTACTTCGACGCAGCCCGTTAGTCTGTTCCTTCATTCGTGGAAAGTAGGAATGTACTTTAAACATAAAAAGTCTCCTGCTTTATATCTCGAGAAAAGTTATTGACTTGACTTTTCACACTCCAATTAATTGATGAGAGCTGAAAGAAAATTCATTTACCATGTTTTATATATGTGCACCACGAGAGAGCTTTGTAAAACTATTTTTTACCATGCCATGGAAAATACAGTGGCCAGCACAATTAATGCGACATACGCGCGGCGCACGACGGGAAGGTTGGGTGAAATACCGTCGCATTTACAACGGCTTTCCTTTATTTCGATTGGCTGTATTTTCTATGGCGTGGTATAAATCACTTTATTTACGCCTCAGCCAGTGAACCTCCAGTGATTATCCGGTCAGCTTGCTTGCATCCTCAATTTATTCTACTCAGGTCGATGTGAGGAAACGAAACAAACTCTTATCATTTGAGTAATAATTTAGCTTGAAGATCCGAATCGGTCTAGTTTTATAAATCTAACAGGATAGTCCATCACGCCACATACGATTGATTTTAATTTTAATTTTATTTTGGCTTGAGATGAAGTTTCGTTATTTCTTGGCAGATACTATACCTTCCAGTTGCTCGGCAGAGAAAGCCCTCGCTGCTCTCCACGCACTCCTTTTTCGCATCCTCTCTGAGGTGTCGTTCTGCAAAGCAACACCAACGATAGTAATACATATGTTACAATCCACATCCAACCTTGCCAAGTCTATTTTCTTGCAAGAGGCGAACATGAGTATTTCTACTCTCCCCGGATTGGCTGCAAATCTACAGAAGGTTACCCTTAGTATTTTTATTGAGTTGCCTTAACAGTGTACTGGGACGAATTGTAGTGGAGGCACTGTAAGATTTATCAAGCCACTGCCCGAAAATACAGCATGAGTTTAATGCCCAGGACCATCCCGGATGTAAATTTAATCGCCCTAATTATCTAAGTCGAGTCCTTACGCGTCCCTCGGGATAAGGACTGATGATGCTGATGATGATGACAATGATAATGATGATGATAATAATGATGAATCGAAGTCGACGCCAATATACTACGCGTAATTTTCCTCTCAGCGCTTCTCACATTCTCCTATATTTGCACGCATGAATTATCGATCAGCACGCGTGAATTATCGATCATGATAATTAATTAGTGGTAATACAAGCAAAAAGTACCTCAGAGTGATCTGCTTTTTTAATGTGAAATCTCACTCGTCCGTCTGCTGCTTTGATTAGATCGAAAGCGGATCTTAACGGAACGTTACTCACATTCGTACCATCAATCTGTCAAGGAAAGCAATTAGATCATTCATTCGATTTATTTGCTCTGTTGTTTTTTTTAACTGAAACATCAGTTTGGATATATAGAATTTTTACCCAATAAAAGAGAATGAAAGACGGAGAAAGAATTAACTAAAGGAGGCTGACTTCACGCAAAGTCAAATGAATACGACTGTTGATAGAGAGAGATTTATCGTAACCGAAGGTTCATGCACTGTCCAGAGCGCAGGGTATGACAAAGAGGCGAGAGATATACAAAGTTTTAAAATGAACACCTTCAATATCTTGTCCCCAGGCCCAATAGCTTTATCCAGTACACTGCCTCGTTTGACCGCTGTTATGAAAATTCCCGGATCTCCAGGTACACAAGGTCTGTCTCGTCCACCGTTGATCTTTAATCCAAGCTTACCAAGTCGTCCTGATAACAAAACGTGTCAAATTTAATCGCTTTCTATCTCCGATCAATTGCTCATCTTATTTTGCCGTTATACTGTAAATGGCTGGTTAAAACCAGGCCACTGAGATGAGCATCGTGGAATACGATCATCTGAAAGCCGGAAGGTTTTAGTCTTAACGAGTGAAATAGATCTTTATTGACGTATCTTGAAAAAGCCAGCCTAAAGATCTCAAGTCTGTCGTTCGTAATCTTCACCTGGCTCAGTTAACTATTCTTGTCCCTTTTTGTTTGTTTGTTTGTTTGTTTTTTTTAGTTCCTCTTTTGATGTTTGACTATCTTATATAGGGTGATGTCTTTAAATATTTTGGGGAGGAAGGAAAGGAAATTATGACATCATTGTAACAAAGCAAATTTCAGCACATNTCTGAAGAGTCTCTTGGCCGAGACGAAACGCCGCGTCAGACTAGCCACGAACATTTCACAAGTATTTGAAATCTCTTCATTGTCTTTAGTAAGTGCCATGTAAGATACTGTTTTTACAGCCCGTCTACAGTAGTCCGAGGATATAGCTGCTCGGGATTCAGTTCAAACCTCAGACCGGACGGTTGTGGGAGCTAAATAGAACATTCTTGAACCAACCTTTAGCACGGGGATTTTCCTGATTTGAATCTTGGCGACTCTGTCCGTTGCACGTAACATGTTAAAGAAAACGTGCTGAGGGACATTTGTTACATCACAACTGTTAACCTGAAGAGAAAAACCCAAATCTGCTATATAGACAACTGAATAAGGGAAAAAAACTGTTCTCTAAATAGTGTAATTAAGTTACTGTAATATGGAATGTCACTTACATTGGTAGTAAATCGTCCCTGGGACACTGATGTATAGTAATGCAACAAACCATCTGTGTTTTACAACTGAAGTTTGAAAAAGGACGCTATTCTTTTAAAGTGCGTTGCTGTTTTCCCCTCCCCACCCAGTACAACGTTGAAACTCAGGGGAAATTGCAGGTACTCTTTTACAACATTGTCTGTGAGGTAGCTGGGAGAAGGCTAGGCAGGTGAAATTCAGTATTCGCGCACGACTGTTTGTCTAGCGTGCGTGCAAATGACCCAAAGTGCAAATTTGTCCCAAGACGTTTGTCCATGATTGTAGTTCTCAGGGTTTCTCTCTTGCTCCCCTGAGAACGCATGAATTAGGTCTCCCTAAGTGTACATTACTGAAGTGTCTAACGCAGTTAGTTATTTATGTTACGAAAGGGTGCTTAAAATTTCAACCAAGATATCTTAAGGTTACTTGAAGATGGCTGTGTAATGTATAAAACAAGAGAAATGCAGCTTGTAAATAGCAAAAATCCATTTCGTGTCAATTTCAACATGCTGTGTTGTATTCATTATCTTTCTTTTCTCGCATACCTTTAGAATATGATCTCCGATTTTAACTGTCCTCTGTAGTGAGCTACCTTCTTTTATTTTTTTGATAAAGATTCCTGTGTTTCCATCGATTGACTTTTCATCTTGACCACCGTATATTTCGAAGTCAAGAGGCAAAAGTTGTCCTAAAGAAAGAAGATAAGATTACCTAGATTAGAGAGAGAAACGATCCTTTGTTGTCTTTGGCAGGAGAGATAGCCAAAGTCACCCTCGAGTCAACTGGCCTAAACCACCAAAACATGTTCTGGTTTCTGTGGCAAGAACCAACTTGGCTGAAGTATTGCCACTTCCTCTGTGTGGAAAACTAGTAGATAGGAGATCATATAGCACCCTCTCCCTCTCCCCTCAATATGAGACAATGAGAGAGTAAGTGTCATGCTCAAGTATTCAACATAATGAACTCGTCCGGTGCTCGAACGCAGGCTGCTCGATCAGGTATCCACAGCGCAATTTATCGGGCATACGTATAAAATTATCCCATAATAATCAACTACAAGAAATTAAGATACGTCGTCAACCAATTTTAGTCTTTTGACTCTTAACTAACCTCTTAGTCCAACAGCGACTTCGACGTTAACTTTGTCGTCTTCGTCCAAGTTGGGTTTTATTTCTTTTTCAGATACTTCAGTTCCTCTCCCTGAATCGCTGTTGTCATCGTCAAAGCTTAATGTCCCCCACGATACCATTTTTGAAGAGCCCTGAGAAACCTACAGAAAGGCAAAGCGGATATCTTCTTTCCGAGAACGACAAAGAAGAAATTCTTGGTTGACCAGTTAACAGACAACCATCAGCTAATGGACTAATAACGGAACAACTCCTTGATCGATTGGCAGTCGGACTGACCGAGTGACTTAACCGATTAATTGATTAATTGATTGATCGACTGACACACTAAATGACTGACTAATTGATTGACATATCCAGACTGACGAACCGATACTGAGACTGACTGATCGATAGATTGATTGATTCAATGAGAGACTGACTAATGGACTGACTGACGTTCAGACAGATCATCTCATTGATGGACTGACTGACTACTCAGGTCAGCTGCTTGCTCAGCTGGCTAACAGCTCTAAGTTTCATTCATCACTGAATTCCGGCCCCCGCTAGCCTCCCTGCTCCAGAGAAGAGGGGAAAGATAGGGAAAAGCCCGGTCTGGATAGAGTTAACTTTTATGAGTTCTTTTATTCATGAGAAGCTAGAGACTCGATATTAATGCTAAAGCGGATTTCAAATCCGCATTTATGGAATATTTTTGGGGATTAAAATCAAGTAAGCTGTCAACTCCTATTGTTTCGAGCGAGGGCTCGAACTGACGAAATGAGCTTGAAACATATTCTTCAGCCGTAAACACTGATAACGTTAATTACATTTCTCTCATCTCTTTGCATGTTCATAGGTTATTAACAAGGTGACGAAATGTTTCTGGTCTATTCATGTTACATGGAGAGTACAACACATATGAAGGTTTTGCACAATGAGGTCGTTTCATAGGACAGTCGTAAAACAGTGACAATCGAAATAAAAATTCGTGGTGTTTGGTTCCTTTGTAGAATTTGATTGCGTCACTTGTCAAGGCATTACTTCGATCTGTTAGCTACGATAAAAAATTGTCGCACACATTAGTAAAGGAGATCGAGTAACATTACTTACCTCGTCTAAAGTGCTCCGCGATATAACATGTATCAGTGCGAAGTTGTCAGCAAACCGGAACATGTTCTCAGCCACGTGACGAGACACATTTCGTACATCAGCGTTGTCAATCTAGGATGGCAACACATCAAATGTCATATACTAGACTTAGGGAATAAAAATTTAGGTTTGAACGGGATAACCTATGAGAGTTTTGTATGTATTTTTTCCAGGCTATACTTTCACAACTGCCAAGGTTGTGTACATAACTACAATGATCTTTCATGCATTTAAAACATGATTACAAGCTTGCACATTGTTGAAATTTTTTCTTTTGTTTTGCGTTTCACTTCCGTCAGATTCGCCGGAAAGTTAGGAAAAAAGTATAAACCAAAGTAATAAATTAATTCCCTTGAGTATTATGACCCCGCTTACATTTCCAATTAGTCCATCTTCAGGAGAGGCTTAGAGACCAAGTTAAAAGTGCGCGAAGACGAGGGTGAGTGTTTTCCAATAGCATAGGGAACCAGGTCCTGATGTTGATTTTAATACAAGTAGAAAAATTCATTTTATCTTGCTTTGATCTGCGCAATATTCTTCTTTCAAATCAAACCGATGCAACTTGATTGCTACATCACAACCTTATCATATGTTCACGATAATCTTACTGATTGAGTTTTACTTAACAAAAGGTTTTGCAACATCGTATGATGCAAATAAAGCCAGTTGTTGTAAATGGGTATGGTGAAAGAGTACAAAGAACTAATATCAACACAAAATAAACACCTTCACTGAACTCGAAGACTTTTAATTAGAGCCTGCATTTTTCACTTCATCATTAAAGTTTCAAAAACCTCCAGTCACTCATAGTCTTTAGTATTCACAAAGAATCAGCTGACCTTCGTTAGTTGACATCCAGGGCCCAAGAGCCCATCTGCCTCGCTTCCAGGCTTTACCCACATGATAAAAAGTCCCGGATTTCCGGGAATATAAGGTTCGTCATTACCTCCAGCAATCTCCACATCCGGGTTACTGATTTCTCCTGATCGATAGCAAAGAAGAATATTTTAATATATTTGACAGTACACAGCCTGCTTGCTGGCTTGGTCTCATAGCAATCAACGGACATTTGATGTTAGACACGTCTATGATAAGTCTATGACATCAATAATGAATGTCAGCGGTAACTCGGCCAAAGGAAAAAAGTCAATCTTGCAAGACAAGGGATAAAGTAGTACAATAGCTGATCAATAGCACTTTACAATTGATTGGAAACTAAATAAGAATTATTCATAAAATTATTAATAAATAAGAAATTAAACAAAAACACTCAATACATTAAAATACTTTAAAATGCTGACCCAAACAAAAACGTCTTACGGGCGTTCGCTTTCGAAAACACTAGGTGACGAGTACTACCCTCGACCTTAGACTTTTTCTCTAGCTCTCTTAAACCCTGAGGTTTAGCCTTTTTACTCAGTCGTTTATAATTAATGCAAGAATTTTAGCTTTTCTTTTAGATCACGCTTACGCGAAATTCTGGTATTAAACCCACTGTGAAAATGTAAGCATTTTGGTTCAAAGGTTTTGTAAATTCTGGAGACTACAAGTGCTATTTGGCAGCCATCATTGGCTTCCTTTTTGGAACTATAGATGATTAATGAATCATTAGTTATATCAATATGATCACCAAGTTATTCTCTATGTCACTGTTGTGTGATCAAACTAAAGTTTTGCTTGTGTCGCAAAGCGCGCATTCTGGAGGTTAGATATCTTTCGGGCGCCGTCGTGCGGTATTCGACATCACTCGTAAATTTTCAACGTCTGGATGCAATCAACAAGAACAATAACTCTAATCGCATTGATTAAAATTAAATATAGGAAAAGATGTACATTTTTCGCTTTACGTGTCGAGTCGATGCGAAGTGGGAGAGATTGTTTCTCAGTTAAGTCATCTAAGCTACAGCCACTTTGATTTATTGACAAGAACACTTTCTGAAAGCTTACCTCTCGGCCCAACGGATATTTCAACACTGATCTCGCCATCCACGGAGTTGGTAAAGGAATGTTCCTCGTGCTTTGGGCTGGATGAAGCAGACTTCAAAAACGCTCTGAATTTACCCCTTCTAACTGCCATCGTGTGCGCTTCGGGTTATCACGAAAACCCGGCTACAAACGAGTCACGAACGAGTCATCACCTAGGAGGACAAGAGCAAATATTTGCCAACAAGCAAATCAATATTAAAGTAAATAACTACATTGTGCAGCTGCTGTTATATTCGCATTTGTTATTTAACGCACGAATTTGAACTTCGTAAAACGCAGGCTTACTTACAATTTTACTTGAATTCCAACTTTTTACGGAGAGCTTGGCTTATGTTTCTGGACCGCCTTCCTGTCTCGTTGCAAAGCAACATTTTCTAGCAGTTCTATGACGTACGCTGATTTGCAATGGGAATAGAACCTTTTGTGCAGGCTAAAAAAAGCTTGACGTTGACGTTATATTGTTCTTATTCTTCTGTCTTTTGTAGTTTGTTAATGGACTCGCAAAGTGAAGCACCATTTGCATAAGTTCCGTCTTTGGTGTTCAGTCAGGCAATTAATATTTTGATTTCTCGCCGTTTTAGCGGTGTCAGCGATTCTATTTTAAAACTTCTCCCACATTGGGCAATACACTTAATTTAAAATAGTAGTAAAAGCTTAATGTGTCTTAGTAACTTACCTGTCGAGCCATTTTCTAGTTCTCCTTGATCGACCTAAATGTTCAAGGGTAATAAATAAACAATCAAAATTTCGGTTTTCAGCATTTGCGGAACTTGGACAGTTCCCGAACCGTTCAAGGGACCATAAGTGCTTTTTCAGTTATTCGATGCAGGAAAGCTCTGACTGGAAGTAAATGTTGCCAGTTGGTCTCAAAGCACCGCAGAGTAACCATTTTCCAATTATGACTGATGCAATTGCACGAATTGCAAGGATATCGGTTTTCAATTAGTTATCATAGTTTAGCAAAATAGTGATTTTTATCGGTTTACAGGCGCAATAACTCCGCACGGGATTTAAAGAGAATGTACAAGAAGTACTTTATTTTAAATCGCGAGACGTTTTCCGTAACCCGGACCTGAAGCGTTCCTATTTTCGGACCTACAAAGGAGCAGCTTCAGTTTTGGAACCGTTCCCAGGTCCCTAAGTGGATCACTCCCTCGGGTGAGCTTTATTGACCGGTCTGTTGGGGCGCAATTTTGGCTGTGCTCACACAGGATGGGTCGTGCGTGGACACTTCTGACACCTCTGTAAAATTAATGTTTGCGGGTGAGAGTTTAAATTAGAATTGAATTGAATTGAATTCTTGCCAACGAGGTCGTTTTACACAGAACCTTTCCTTATGTCACAGAGGACCGGTCCAGAACCTGTCCATATTTATAGTAAGAACAGTCTCGGACAGCATTAGATCTATTCGTCCCGCCGGTGTGGACATATACGGCCAAAATTGTTCAGCCGGAAGAACGAACTTCTTAAATGATTACATGGTGTCAGACAGCTGACATGAGAAGCTATGAGAACCTACACAGCTCCATACTGCTGGAGCTGCAATTTGTAGGTCGAAAATTTGGACTGGACAAGGACTAGAACTTGATAAACGCAACGGAAAGTCCGGGCCAAGTGTTCAGTTGGATCAAATCCATTTGGTCCGTTGTGAACATAGCCCAAGTGAGCATGTCTTCGCCGAGGCAATAATCTTTGACAACTTTGTCTAACAGCTAACAAGTACAACCTCAGTTGATGAGGAGGACTAGCAAGTGTTTAGCTCCTTGTTATAAACACCTTGACAAATTTAGTAACTCTAGTTGATTTGTCACATTTATCTAGCGTAAAAAAAATAGTTTCACAATCACCATGAATACACACAACGGACAGTGCTACTATAAACTTATTCAAATGTTTATTTAAACAGCAGCGTATACGACACATTAGAAGATCTTAGAATTGGTTCCAGAAATCTAACAGTAAATTGAAAGCCTCTCTTATCGTTTCATATTCTCAGCTTTTGACAAAATGTAGCTGATATACAGTATCCAGTTCTCGACACTTCTTGATCATAGTATTGTTATAAAGCAAGTCACACATTGTTTAGACTAGGTCGAGTTTTCAAATATGAGTAAAGACTTCATACTAACCTATCAACAAATGTCGTGTTACCCGTGATTCAGTTTTCCAAAAGGGCCTTTTGATCAGTCTTTTGTTTTGGAAGATAAAGTAATATATAAAATTTAGCTAAACTTAGTTTCTTAAAATTTGCGTTCTTGACTATAATATCTCTGCTCAATCTATGTTTATAAAAATTCTTTGTTTTAGATTTTTCTATTCTGGCACACAAAAAAGATTATTTGCAAACAAGAAGTTTATATTCCAGAGACATCTCGTTTTTTCACAACTATTACTTGGAAAGTTCGTTTCCTCGGATCGTGAAAGCTCGTTTATGTTCTTTCAGCGGGATGGCAAATGTTAAGTGACTTTCATCTCAGCTCATATAGCAGAGCGAAATATGTGATAACCACGCCAGTTACCTGAAAAAAAGAAAATATTCACTTTGAAATGTTTGTGATAAGAAACTTGACAAAATTTACAGTGTTACGGTAATGTTGACAAGTGTTGAAAAGGTATTTTCTGTAAACAGAAAATTAAACATTGGCGCTATTTCTAGGGTTTTGAAACTAATACTACATTTAAACATATGATTTTCTCTGTTCTATGATGTAACTTGTCTGATTGTCATTGCATTCATCTCGCACATAATGTCACGCGCAAAGCAAAACGTTAAAGGTACCTTACCGTAACAATCAACGTTTTGGTAATGGGTACCAGTCCTCCCGCGGTAATTGCAACGGGGTCTCCATTTAACTTTGCCACGAATAGCATCAACTAAACAAGGAAACAAATATTAAAAAAGGGAAAACAAGGAAGTTAATTCCAGGCTTAATGTGCTGCGTCATTGGCGAGGTACTTATGCGTCACAGTGCCCCTCTTTCAACCAGGTGAAAAAAAGGTGACTAACAAATTTATTGCTGGGGGAGGGGGGTGCCCCTTGGAGTGAGGGGAAGGGGACAGAAATATTTCTAGTTGCATGATGCTGTGAAAACCGGGAAAAGGTCAGCAGATGGCCCACCTTAACCTGGCTCAGACTTCACTTTTGTAATGTCTTTGTTTTACATTCCTTTGATATCTAAGCAAAGGCAATTAATACAAAACTACAAACGTTTCCTTAGATCGAAAATGTTCTCCCTTTGTGGAACAACACTGCTGTAAGCTCTTGCAACATACCTCAGTATGTGTATCCAGATCAACATTGGATATCTGAACTTTCTGAACAACCTCCGTGAAGGAATGAATCTGCGATGCAAAGAAAAGTTTACCTTAAATGGTGTCAGCTGAACCTGGAATCGTAAGAATGCCCTGATCGATTTAGAAGTCATTTGCCTGCCAAACAGAATTACTTTTAAATTCCAGGAATTCTCCAAATATGTAAAAAAAGAAGCAAAATTAAAGAGGTATAGTTACAACTGTGAAAGAAAGGGATGCATGGCAACGACCACCTAAAAATACAAATGGTCAATTAAATTGTTCCAAGGTACGCCGTCCGTAACGCAACTCCCATAATCAGTATCAACGAAAAATATCAGGTTTAAGAGGAGAAAATGGTGATTAGTGGTTTGTGTGGTTAGCGTTAAATTCTTGGTCAAGGCCTTACTTCCGTCCAGGACCTCAGTTAACTCTCTACGAGTATAACTTTGTTCGCTCTTATGGCTTGCGGTTATTTTAAAATAGCCTGCTAGTGATGTGCAGTGCTTTCCCTGGCGCTAGCTCGAGGGTACTCCCTTATATGGAGTATATAAGTATGTGCGGCCCCAAAGGGTGTTTGGCCGTTTTGGTCATAAAAAGGGTATCGATTTTGGTCTCAAATAGGGTATGGTTTTCTGCGCTCTTGTCTTGAATTCGTATTATTTATAAGCTACTTTTTCATCATTATCGACCATCAACAAAAGCCCCTCGCAATGCCTTTAACATCGGTCTGAACTAGGGAACTAATTATAAGGCAGGTCATCAAATTTTGGTCAGGTCATAAATAGGGTAGGGAAAATCACAGATTTTGGTTTTAAATAAGTTAAGGGTTTTGGGAAGCGGGCCGCACACCCCCACTCGATATTTCTTAGAGTACCCCCCGCGGGCGCAAGTTCCCTTCCTTAAGTGAACCTTTCAGCTGGCTCACGCTCGAACGGCGACGATTCGAGAACAATGCGTGCAAGCCCTAATCATGTCGCTAGTGTAAGACAATCCTACTTACTCTGCTGTTTAACTGCGCCCCAAGGAAAGACACGCCCGCCATCATGAATGAAACGGTTACAAACCAAAATGCTAAAGTTACTTGAGTCGTCACGCTGTTAGTTTTGACGAATATCAAATTGTAGAACAGAAAGCAGACCAGAGGAATGTTCGTGACATAAACAGTAAGAGTCAAGAACTTGAACAAGTTGTCCACCTTCCTCACAGACCCACATAGCGACGAATGCTGCTGCCTTAGAATCTTGACTCTGGGCAATCCATCGGCAGACGCAGTCAGGCGCAAAGTCTTTCTCAGGCGATAACATTGATGAATCAAGGTCAGGCACACGGCGGAAAAGATAGCAAAAGGCATCAACCACGCGGCAGAACAGTAAATAAAAACAACGAAGCAAACTGTCTTAGCGGCTGTGCTGCTAATGGGGAGGGGGGATACCAATGCTTGTGCGAGAGGTTGGACGGATTCTGAAGGAACGAACAGAACAACAGCGTAAAGCACAAGATTTAATGTCATCAGGAAATATGCTGCCATAAGCGTTCGTTTAATGTACCTTATCATGCATGACTCGACCACTAACTCGTCAAAGTTCGGCTGAGAATTCCAGTACATCAACAAGCTTTTCAAACTGGACTTTTTAGTTGTCATGTGCATAGTCTTGAAACAAATTGAAGCTTGCAAAGCGGTCTGTAGAAACCATAGGAACGGTGCTAGCAGTTGAAGACTGCCAGAGTCGCGGTAGCTACCGACCCAAAACGAAGCCAAAGTCTTGCTGAAGTTAAGCCATAAGACGAGCAACACGAGGCATTGATAAAAACGCTTTCCAAAAATCGACATTTTTCGATTTGAAAAGTCTCCTTCACAAGGATTCCTTACGTCTTCGAAGTACAAGCCAAACAGCTTCATCGGGAAGAATACAGATTGAAGCTTTGCAATAATACAGATCCTTCTTGAGCAAACGCTATTCAGTTTATCTGTAGTCGAACTGTCGGTTACTTCTTGACCCTCGTCAGTATTTTTCCGAAACTCTTTCAGAACTACTCCAGAGGAATCGACCCCGCCGTCGATTGCGCCGTTGGAATCAGCAATTCCTGAGGGACGACTCATGGTTGCTTTTTGCAAGCGTGTTCAGTTTACAGTGGAGCTTAACGCAGCTTAATTGGAGAGATTTTGGAACAATAACAGCATTGACTTAGTCACGGCATGCTCAATATTATTTGAAGTCAACCATTGAGACGTCAAACATACCTTCACCGCCTTTGTTATTGCTTGTCTGTCAGTGATGGATACTGGAATAACTGATAAGGTCAGATAACGGGAATTTAACTCAACTATTTCTAAATCAGTGTGTCAAATTCAAAACATATTTCTGATAACAAAAAAAAAAATTCATTGATTTCATTGATCAAAAACAAATCAAAGATGACAGATAAAGATTTCATGCGGGATTTTGATCCGCTTAGCATATTTGTTTGATTTAAATTCCGAAACGATATTGACATTTTNAGTCCCGGATTTCCGGGAATATAAGGTTCGTCATTACCTCCAGCAATCTCCACATCCGGGTTACTGATTTCTCCTGATCGATAGCAAAGAAGAATATTTTAATATATTTGACAGTACACAGCCTGCTTGCTGGCTTGGTCTCATAGCAATCAACGGACATTTGATGTTAGACACGTCTATGATAAGTCTATGACATCAATAATGAATGTCAGCGGTAACTCGGCCAAAGGAAAAAAGTCAATCTTGCAAGACAAGGGATAAAGTAGTACAATAGCTGATCAATAGCACTTTACAATTGATTGGAAACTAAATAAGAATTATTCATAAAATTATTAATAAATAAGAAATTAAACAAAAACACTCAATACATTAAAATACTTTAAAATGCTGACCCAAACAAAAACGTCTTACGGGCGTTCGCTTTCGAAAACACTAGGTGACGAGTACTACCCTCGACCTTAGACTTTTTCTCTAGCTCTCTTAAACCCTGAGGTTTAGCCTTTTTACTCAGTCGTTTATAATTAATGCAAGAATTTTAGCTTTTCTTTTAGATCACGCTTACGCGAAATTCTGGTATTAAACCCACTGTGAAAATGTAAGCATTTTGGTTCAAAGGTTTTGTAAATTCTGGAGACTACAAGTGCTATTTGGCAGCCATCATTGGCTTCCTTTTTGGAACTATAGATGATTAATGAATCATTAGTTATATCAATATGATCACCAAGTTATTCTCTATGTCACTGTTGTGTGATCAAACTAAAGTTTTGCTTGTGTCGCAAAGCGCGCATTCTGGAGGTTAGATATCTTTCGGGCGCCGTCGTGCGGTATTCGACATCACTCGTAAATTTTCAACGTCTGGATGCAATCAACAAGAACAATAACTCTAATCGCATTGATTAAAATTAAATATAGGAAAAGATGTACATTTTTCGCTTTACGTGTCGAGTCGATGCGAAGTGGGAGAGATTGTTTCTCAGTTAAGTCATCTAAGCTACAGCCACTTTGATTTATTGACAAGAACACTTTCTGAAAGCTTACCTCTCGGCCCAACGGATATTTCAACACTGATCTCGCCATCCACGGAGTTGGTAAAGGAATGTTCCTCGTGCTTTGGGCTGGATGAAGCAGACTTCAAAAACGCTCTGAATTTACCCCTTCTAACTGCCATCGTGTGCGCTTCGGGTTATCACGAAAACCCGGCTACAAACGAGTCACGAACGAGTCATCACCTAGGAGGACAAGAGCAAATATTTGCCAACAAGCAAATCAATATTAAAGTAAATAACTACATTGTGCAGCTGCTGTTATATTCGCATTTGTTATTTAACGCACGAATTTGAACTTCGTAAAACGCAGGCTTACTTACAATTTTACTTGAATTCCAACTTTTTACGGAGAGCTTGGCTTATGTTTCTGGACCGCCTTCCTGTCTCGTTGCAAAGCAACATTTTCTAGCAGTTCTATGACGTACGCTGATTTGCAATGGGAATAGAACCTTTTGTGCAGGCTAAAAAAAGCTTGACGTTGACGTTATATTGTTCTTATTCTTCTGTCTTTTGTAGTTTGTTAATGGACTCGCAAAGTGAAGCACCATTTGCATAAGTTCCGTCTTTGGTGTTCAGTCAGGCAATTAATATTTTGATTTCTCGCCGTTTTAGCGGTGTCAGCGATTCTATTTTAAAACTTCTCCCACATTGGGCAATACACTTAATTTAAAATAGTAGTAAAAGCTTAATGTGTCTTAGTAACTTACCTGTCGAGCCATTTTCTAGTTCTCCTTGATCGACCTAAATGTTCAAGGGTAATAAATAAACAATCAAAATTTCGGTTTTCAGCATTTGCGGAACTTGGACAGTTCCCGAACCGTTCAAGGGACCATAAGTGCTTTTTCAGTTATTCGATGCAGGAAAGCTCTGACTGGAAGTAAATGTTGCCAGTTGGTCTCAAAGCACCGCAGAGTAACCATTTTCCAATTATGACTGATGCAATTGCACGAATTGCAAGGATATCGGTTTTCAATTAGTTATCATAGTTTAGCAAAATAGTGATTTTTATCGGTTTACAGGCGCAATAACTCCGCACGGGATTTAAAGAGAATGTACAAGAAGTACTTTATTTTAAATCGCGAGACGTTTTCCGTAACCCGGACCTGAAGCGTTCCTATTTTCGGACCTACAAAGGAGCAGCTTCAGTTTTGGAACCGTTCCCAGGTCCCTAAGTGGATCACTCCCTCGGGTGAGCTTTATTGACCGGTCTGTTGGGGCGCAATTTTGGCTGTGCTCACACAGGATGGGTCGTGCGTGGACACTTCTGACACCTCTGTAAAATTAATGTTTGCGGGTGAGAGTTTAAATTAGAATTGAATTGAATTGAATTCTTGCCAACGAGGTCGTTTTACACAGAACCTTTCCTTATGTCACAGAGGACCGGTCCAGAACCTGTCCATATTTATAGTAAGAACAGTCTCGGACAGCATTAGATCTATTCGTCCCGCCGGTGTGGACATATACGGCCAAAATTGTTCAGCCGGAAGAACGAACTTCTTAAATGATTACATGGTGTCAGACAGCTGACATGAGAAGCTATGAGAACCTACACAGCTCCATACTGCTGGAGCTGCAATTTGTAGGTCGAAAATTTGGACTGGACAAGGACTAGAACTTGATAAACGCAACGGAAAGTCCGGGCCAAGTGTTCAGTTGGATCAAATCCATTTGGTCCGTTGTGAACATAGCCCAAGTGAGCATGTCTTCGCCGAGGCAATAATCTTTGACAACTTTGTCTAACAGCTAACAAGTACAACCTCAGTTGATGAGGAGGACTAGCAAGTGTTTAGCTCCTTGTTATAAACACCTTGACAAATTTAGTAACTCTAGTTGATTTGTCACATTTATCTAGCGTAAAAAAAATAGTTTCACAATCACCATGAATACACACAACGGACAGTGCTACTATAAACTTATTCAAATGTTTATTTAAACAGCAGCGTATACGACACATTAGAAGATCTTAGAATTGGTTCCAGAAATCTAACAGTAAATTGAAAGCCTCTCTTATCGTTTCATATTCTCAGCTTTTGACAAAATGTAGCTGATATACAGTATCCAGTTCTCGACACTTCTTGATCATAGTATTGTTATAAAGCAAGTCACACATTGTTTAGACTAGGTCGAGTTTTCAAATATGAGTAAAGACTTCATACTAACCTATCAACAAATGTCGTGTTACCCGTGATTCAGTTTTCCAAAAGGGCCTTTTGATCAGTCTTTTGTTTTGGAAGATAAAGTAATATATAAAATTTAGCTAAACTTAGTTTCTTAAAATTTGCGTTCTTGACTATAATATCTCTGCTCAATCTATGTTTATAAAAATTCTTTGTTTTAGATTTTTCTATTCTGGCACACAAAAAAGATTATTTGCAAACAAGAAGTTTATATTCCAGAGACATCTCGTTTTTTCACAACTATTACTTGGAAAGTTCGTTTCCTCGGATCGTGAAAGCTCGTTTATGTTCTTTCAGCGGGATGGCAAATGTTAAGTGACTTTCATCTCAGCTCATATAGCAGAGCGAAATATGTGATAACCACGCCAGTTACCTGAAAAAAAGAAAATATTCACTTTGAAATGTTTGTGATAAGAAACTTGACAAAATTTACAGTGTTACGGTAATGTTGACAAGTGTTGAAAAGGTATTTTCTGTAAACAGAAAATTAAACATTGGCGCTATTTCTAGGGTTTTGAAACTAATACTACATTTAAACATATGATTTTCTCTGTTCTATGATGTAACTTGTCTGATTGTCATTGCATTCATCTCGCACATAATGTCACGCGCAAAGCAAAACGTTAAAGGTACCTTACCGTAACAATCAACGTTTTGGTAATGGGTACCAGTCCTCCCGCGGTAATTGCAACGGGGTCTCCATTTAACTTTGCCACGAATAGCATCAACTAAACAAGGAAACAAATATTAAAAAAGGGAAAACAAGGAAGTTAATTCCAGGCTTAATGTGCTGCGTCATTGGCGAGGTACTTATGCGTCACAGTGCCCCTCTTTCAACCAGGTGAAAAAAAGGTGACTAACAAATTTATTGCTGGGGGAGGGGGGTGCCCCTTGGAGTGAGGGGAAGGGGACAGAAATATTTCTAGTTGCATGATGCTGTGAAAACCGGGAAAAGGTCAGCAGATGGCCCACCTTAACCTGGCTCAGACTTCACTTTTGTAATGTCTTTGTTTTACATTCCTTTGATATCTAAGCAAAGGCAATTAATACAAAACTACAAACGTTTCCTTAGATCGAAAATGTTCTCCCTTTGTGGAACAACACTGCTGTAAGCTCTTGCAACATACCTCAGTATGTGTATCCAGATCAACATTGGATATCTGAACTTTCTGAACAACCTCCGTGAAGGAATGAATCTGCGATGCAAAGAAAAGTTTACCTTAAATGGTGTCAGCTGAACCTGGAATCGTAAGAATGCCCTGATCGATTTAGAAGTCATTTGCCTGCCAAACAGAATTACTTTTAAATTCCAGGAATTCTCCAAATATGTAAAAAAAGAAGCAAAATTAAAGAGGTATAGTTACAACTGTGAAAGAAAGGGATGCATGGCAACGACCACCTAAAAATACAAATGGTCAATTAAATTGTTCCAAGGTACGCCGTCCGTAACGCAACTCCCATAATCAGTATCAACGAAAAATATCAGGTTTAAGAGGAGAAAATGGTGATTAGTGGTTTGTGTGGTTAGCGTTAAATTCTTGGTCAAGGCCTTACTTCCGTCCAGGACCTCAGTTAACTCTCTACGAGTATAACTTTGTTCGCTCTTATGGCTTGCGGTTATTTTAAAATAGCCTGCTAGTGATGTGCAGTGCTTTCCCTGGCGCTAGCTCGAGGGTACTCCCTTATATGGAGTATATAAGTATGTGCGGCCCCAAAGGGTGTTTGGCCGTTTTGGTCATAAAAAGGGTATCGATTTTGGTCTCAAATAGGGTATGGTTTTCTGCGCTCTTGTCTTGAATTCGTATTATTTATAAGCTACTTTTTCATCATTATCGACCATCAACAAAAGCCCCTCGCAATGCCTTTAACATCGGTCTGAACTAGGGAACTAATTATAAGGCAGGTCATCAAATTTTGGTCAGGTCATAAATAGGGTAGGGAAAATCACAGATTTTGGTTTTAAATAAGTTAAGGGTTTTGGGAAGCGGGCCGCACACCCCCACTCGATATTTCTTAGAGTACCCCCCGCGGGCGCAAGTTCCCTTCCTTAAGTGAACCTTTCAGCTGGCTCACGCTCGAACGGCGACGATTCGAGAACAATGCGTGCAAGCCCTAATCATGTCGCTAGTGTAAGACAATCCTACTTACTCTGCTGTTTAACTGCGCCCCAAGGAAAGACACGCCCGCCATCATGAATGAAACGGTTACAAACCAAAATGCTAAAGTTACTTGAGTCGTCACGCTGTTAGTTTTGACGAATATCAAATTGTAGAACAGAAAGCAGACCAGAGGAATGTTCGTGACATAAACAGCAAGAGTCAAGAACTTGAACAAGTTGTCCACCTTCCTCACAGACCCACATAGCGACGAATGCTGCTGCCTTAGAATCTTGACTCTGGGCAATCCATCGGCAGACGCAGTCAGGCGCAAAGTCTTTCTCAGGCGATAACATTGATGAATCAAGGTCAGGCACACGGCGGAAAAGATAGCAAAAGGCATCAACCACGCGGCAGAACAGTAAATAAAAACAACGAAGCAAACTGTCTTAGCGGCTGTGCTGCTAATGGGGAGGGGGGATACCAATGCTTGTGCGAGAGGTTGGACGGATTCTGAAGGAACGAACAGAACAACAGCGTAAAGCACAAGATTTAATGTCATCAGGAAATATGCTGCCATAAGCGTTCGTTTAATGTACCTTATCATGCATGACTCGACCACTAACTCGTCAAAGTTCGGCTGAGAATTCCAGTACATCAACAAGCTTTTCAAACTGGACTTTTTAGTTGTCATGTGCATAGTCTTGAAACAAATTGAAGCTTGCAAAGCGGTCTGTAGAAACCATAGGAACGGTGCTAGCAGTTGAAGACTGCCAGAGTCGCGGTAGCTACCGACCCAAAACGAAGCCAAAGTCTTGCTGAAGTTAAGCCATAAGACGAGCAACACGAGGCATTGATAAAAACGCTTTCCAAAAATCGACATTTTTCGATTTGAAAAGTCTCCTTCACAAGGATTCCTTACGTCTTCGAAGTACAAGCCAAACAGCTTCATCGGGAAGAATACAGATTGAAGCTTTGCAATAATACAGATCCTTCTTGAGCAAACGCTATTCAGTTTATCTGTAGTCGAACTGTCGGTTACTTCTTGACCCTCGTCAGTATTTTTCCGAAACTCTTTCAGAACTACTCCAGAGGAATCGACCCCGCCGTCGATTGCGCCTTTTTTTTCAAGATAATTCAGTTTTATCCTCACATGTACCCACTGAATACCTATTTTTACATTTTACAGATGTCAGTTGCAAATGATATCGATAATCCTCAAAGCATATAGTCGAAACTGCGCTTACGGCCATCACTCTAAAACGGTCATTTTCCTTTGTGCCCGAGGTGGCTGTTGTGGAGATATTCTACTGTTATCTCCTAAAATTGTGCTCAGTGCTGCACAGGATATATTCTTAGCCTTGTAATTCCAGGCCAGGCCTTCCGAGTCAACTTTTGCCGTAAAGAGAGCTGTAATGTCTTTCATTCCAACTGATATAAAAGTGCAAAATAAGTGATAACCACACCAGTCACCTAGCGAATAACAAGAAATAAAAACAATTTAATTTCTCTATGCTAAACACGATGTCATGTTACAACTGATTTTACAAGTTATATCTTTAGATCCAGTGGGAAATGAAAATATTCGAGCTGAATGTCACGACAATACTAACAAAAGAAAAAGGATAGCTCTGACTGGAGAAATTGAATGCAAATGCCATCCCTTTCCACCTCAGCTTAGTAAAGGAGAGAAACACTAGCATTTTTTTTTACTGCCTTTCATTACAAACTCCTGAAGACCTGAATAGGCAAGCTTGTTTCGAAAACTCACCATAGTGAAAACGGAAAACATTTTCTTAGTGATGGATCGGTGAATCACGGGGTACGTGCTAAAACGAGGACTTAGAGTTCGGCGGTACTGATAGAAAGACCACCGTACGTTTCGGTGGGGATGAGTAGAAAACATACCTTAATGAAAAAGAAACTCATTTCAGAGGTGACGAGTAAAAACTCTCTGTGGTAAAAAGGAATATAATTTGGTGGAAAATTACAGTTGTAAATGGTCGTTGATACCTTACCGTAACAATCAGAGGTTTTGTAATAGGTACCAGTCCTCCCGCGGTAATTGACACAGGGTCTCCATTTAACTTGGCCACGAATAGCATCAACTAAACAGGAGAGAAAAGGTTGATAATATCATACCTTTAAGCTGTATTTGAAGCTTTAATCTATCGCAGTTGATGCCATATAGTGGGTGATCAAAGGTTTGTATCAAGTGATTAAGCTTAGGAAGTGCTGCGTATAAATCTTACTTACGACATGCAGTTATACTTCTTTTATTTACTTTTCCAAAGAACACAAATCAACATGAGCAACCATTTCATTTGAACAAAGTCGATTTTCTTATTCATCTAGACGTTTTTCGGTACATTTCGTTGTATATACTTCTGAGCGATTCCGTAAAAACATGCCTGCTAGGTTTTCGCCTGGATAGCTAGCGACCTTAAACCTAAGGGGAGTGGGGGGAGGAGAGGCTCCGTTAAGGCCAGGCCAGGCACATTGCCCAGGCACTGGCCTGTCTGCTGGTGGTTTGCTAGCGGTCAGCTGTCAAAAGCAGGGGGTAGGGGAGGGTGTCTTGTACTGACACCCTCAGTTAGCTAGACTTTGAGTTTTCAG